GAGAAGGGCACACAGGTGGGGAGGGTGCAGGTGGGAAGGGCACACAGGTGGGAAGGGCACACAGGTGGGGAGGGCGCAGGTGGGGAGGGCACACAGGTGGGGAGGGCACACAGGTGGGGAGGGCACACAGGTGGGGAGGGTGCAGGTGGGAAGGGCACACAGGTGGGGAGGGTGCAGGTGGGAAGGGCACACAGGTGGGGAGGGCACACAGGTAGGGAGGGCGCAGGTGGGGAGGGCACACAGGTGGGGAGGGCACACAGGTGGGGAGGGCGCAGGTGGGAAGGGCACACAGGTGGGAAGGGCACACAGGTGGGGAGGGTGCAGGTGGGAAGGGCACACAGGTGGGGAGGGCACACAGGTGGGGAGGGCGCAGGTGGGAAGGGCACACAGGTGGGAAGGGCACACAGGTGGGGAGGGTGCAGGTGAGAAGGGCACACAGGTGGGGAGGGTGCAGGTGGGAAGGGCACACAGGTGGGAAGGGCACACAGGTGGGGAGGGCGCAGGTGGGGAGGGCACACAGGTGGGGAGGGCACACAGGTGGGGAGGGCACACAGGTGGGGAGGGTGCAGGTGGGAAGGGCACACAGGTGGGGAGGGTGCAGGTGGGAAGGGCACACAGGTGGGGAGGGCACACAGGTGGGGAGGGCGCAGGTGGGAAGGGCACACAGGTGGGAAGGGCACACAGGTGGGGAGGGTGCAGGTGAGAAGGGCACACAGGTGGGGAGGGTGCAGGTGGGAAGGGCACACAGGTGGGAAGGGCACACAGGTGGGGAGGGCGCAGGTGGGGAGGGCACACAGGTGGGGAGGGCACACAGGTGGGGAGGGCACACAGGTGGGGAGGGTGCAGGTGGGAAGGGCACACAGGTGGGGAGGGTGCAGGTGGGAAGCGCACACAGGTGGGGAGGGCACACAGGTGGGGAGGGCGCAGGTGGGAAGGGCACACAGGTGGGGAGGGTGCAGGTGGGAAGGGCACACAGGTGGGGAGGGCACACAGGTGGGGAGGGCGCAGGTGGGGAGGGCACACAGGTGGGGAGGGCACACAGGTGGGGAGGCCACACAGGTGGGGAGGGTGCAGGTGGGAAGGGCACACAGGTGGGGAGGGTGCAGGTGGGAAGGGCACACTGGTGGGAAGGGCACACAGGTGGGGAGGGCGCAGGTGGGGAGGGCACACAGGTGGGGAGGGCACACAGGTGGGGAGGGCACACAGGTGGGGAGGGTGCAGGTGGGAAGGGCACACAGATGGGGAGGGTGCAGGTGGGAAGGGCACACAGGTGGGGAGGGCACACAGGTGGGGAGGGCGCAGGTGAGAAGGGCACACAGGTGGGGAGGGCGCAGGTGGGAAGGGCACACAGGTGGGAAGGGCACACAGGTGGGGAGGGCGCAGGTGGGGAGGGCACACAGGTGGGGAGGGCACACAGGTGGGGAGGGTGCAGGTGGGAAGGGCACACAGGTGGGGAGGGTGCAGGTGAGAAGGGCACACAGGTGGGGAGGGTGCAGGTGGGAAGGGCACACAGGTGGGGAGGGCACACAGGTGGGGAGGGCGCAGGTGGGGAGGGCACACAGGTGGGGAGGGCACACAGGTGGGAAGGGCACACAGGTGGGGAGGGTGCAGGTGGGAAGGGCACACAGGTGGGGAGGGCACAGGAAGGGAGGTCACACAGGTGGGGAGGGTGCAGGTGGGAAGGGCACACAGGTGGGGAGGGTGCAGGTGAGAAGGGCACACAGGTGGAGAGGGTGCAGGTGGGAAGGGCACACAGGTGGGAAGGGCACACAGGTGGGGAGGGCGCAGGTGGGGAGGGCACACAGGTGGGGAGGGCACACAGGTGGGGAGGGCACACAGGTGGGGAGGGTGCAGGTGGGAAGGGCACACAGGTGGGGAGGGTGCAGGTGGGAAGGGCACACAGGTGGGGAGGGCACACAGGTGGGGAGGGCGCAGGTGGGGAGGGCACACAGGTGGGGAGGGCACACAGGTGGGGAGGGCGCAGGTGGGAAGGGCACACAGGTGGGAAGGGCACACAGGTGGGGAGGGTGCAGGTGGGAAGGGCACACAGGTGGGGAGGGCACACAGGTGGGGAGGGCGCAGGTGGGAAGGGCACACAGGTGGGAAGGGCACACAGGTGGGGAGGGTGCAGGTGAGAAGGGCACACAGGTGGGGAGGGTGCAGGTGGGAAGGGCACACAGGTGGGAAGGGCACACAGGTGGGGAGGGCGCAGGTGGGGAGGGCACACAGGTGGGGAGGGCACACAGGTGGGGAGGGCACACAGGTGGGGAGGGTGCAGGTGGGAAGGGCACACAGGTGGGGAGGGTGCAGGTGGGAAGGGCACACAGGTGGGGAGGGCACACAGGTGGGGAGGGCGCAGGTGGGGAGGGCACACAGGTGGGGAGGGCACACAGGTGGGGAGGGCGCAGGTGGGAAGGGCACACAGGTGGGAAGGGCACACAGGTGGGGAGGGTGCAGGTGGGAAGGGCACACAGGTGGGGAGGGCACACAGGTGGGGAGGGCGCAGGTGGGAAGGGCACACAGGTGGGAAGGGCACACAGGTGGGGAGGGCACAGGAAGGTAGGTCACACAGGTGGGGAGGGTGCAGGTGGGAAGGGCACACAGGTGGGGAGGGTGCAGGTGGGAAGGGCACACAGGTGGGGAGGGTGCAGGTGAGAAGGGCACACAGGTGGGGAGGGTGCAGGTGGGAAGGGCACACAGGTGGGAAGGGCACACAGGTGGGGAGGGCGCAGGTGGGGAGGGCACACAGGTGGGGAGGGCACACAGGTGGGGAGGGCACACAGGTGGGGAGGGTGCAGGTGGGAAGGGCACACAGGTGGGGAGGGTGCAGGTGGGAAGGGCACACAGGTGGGGAGGGCACACAGGTGGGGAGGGCGCAGGTGGGGAGGGCACACAGGTGGGGAGGGCACACAGGTGGGGAGGGCGCAGGTGGGAAGGGCACACAGGTGGGAAGGGCACACAGGTGGGGAGGGTGCAGGTGGGAAGGGCACAAAGGTGGGGAGGGCACACAGGTGGGGAGGGCGCAGGTGGGAAGGGCACACAGGTGGGAAGGGCACACAGGTGGGGAGGGTGCAGGTGAGAAGGGCACACAGGTGGGGAGGGTGCAGGTGGGAAGGGCACACAGGTGGGAAGGGCACACAGGTGGGGAGGGCGCAGGTGGGGAGGGCACACAGGTGGGGAGGGCACACAGGTGGGGAGGGCACACAGGTGGGGAGGGTGCAGGTGGGAAGGGCACACAGGTGGGGAGGGTGCAGGTGGGAAGGGCACACAGGTGGGGAGGGCACACAGGTAGGGAGGGCGCAGGTGGGGAGGGCACACAGGTGGGGAGGGCACACAGGTGGGGAGGGCGCAGGTGGGAAGGGCACACAGGTGGGAAGGGCACACAGGTGGGGAGGGTGCAGGTGGGAAGGGCACACAGGTGGGGAGGGCACACAGGTGGGGAGGGCGCAGGTGGGAAGGGCACACAGGTGGGAAGGGCACACAGGTGGGGAGGGTGCAGGTGAGAAGGGCACACAGGTGGGGAGGGTGCAGGTGGGAAGGGCACACAGGTGGGAAGGGCACACAGGTGGGGAGGGCGCAGGTGGGGAGGGCACACAGGTGGGGAGGGCACACAGGTGGGGAGGGCACACAGGTGGGGAGGGTGCAGGTGGGAAGGGCACACAGGTGGGGAGGGTGCAGGTGGGAAGGGCACACAGGTGGGGAGGGCACACAGGTGGGGAGGGCGCAGGTGGGAAGGGCACACAGGTGGGAAGGGCACACAGGTGGGGAGGGTGCAGGTGAGAAGGGCACACAGGTGGGGAGGGTGCAGGTGGGAAGGGCACACAGGTGGGAAGGGCACACAGGTGGGGAGGGCGCAGGTGGGGAGGGCACACAGGTGGGGAGGGCACACAGGTGGGGAGGGCACACAGGTGGGGAGGGTGCAGGTGGGAAGGGCACACAGGTGGGGAGGGTGCAGGTGGGAAGCGCACACAGGTGGGGAGGGCACACAGGTGGGGAGGGCGCAGGTGGGAAGGGCACACAGGTGGGGAGGGTGCAGGTGGGAAGGGCACACAGGTGGGGAGGGCACACAGGTGGGGAGGGCGCAGGTGGGGAGGGCACACAGGTGGGGAGGGCACACAGGTGGGGAGGCCACACAGGTGGGGAGGGTGCAGGTGGGAAGGGCACACAGGTGGGGAGGGTGCAGGTGGGAAGGGCACACAGGTGGGGAGGGCACAAGAGGGGAGGTCACACAGGTGGGGAGGGTGCAGGTGGGAAGGGCACACAGTTGGGGAGGGTGCAGGTGAGAAGGGCACACAGGTGGGGAGGGTGCAGGTGGGAAGGGCACACAGGTGGGGAGGGTACAGGTGGGAAGGGCACACAGGTGGGGAGGGCACACAGGTGGGGAGGGCACACAGGTGGGGAGGGCGCAGGTGGGGAGGTGGTGGATGGCAGGAGCCTTGCAGAGCATCCCCTTGTCCCCTGAGAAATGTTCGTGATCAGGAAGGGAAGGCAGCACCTCCTCAGTGCTTTTCCTCCTCACCAGGCGCATCAGTGGGCGAAAATCAGAATCTGACAGAGGAAACATCAGTCTGGCTAAGTGCCCCGCGTGCCTTCCCCTGAGGAGCGCTCTGGCTGGAGAGGCATGCCCGGAGACTGCTGCAGCCACCCCCAGGCAGGTGGCGCACTCTGGCTCCCTCCCACCCCCCCACCCCCCAGGTGGTGGCTCGGGGGCCACAGAGCAGCCCTCGCTCAGCCCTGAGGTGGGAGTCAGCACCCGCAGGAGAGGGCGGAGCGGGGAGGCAGGGTGTGTCTGAGGGGCACCCCTTGCGGGAGTTCTCCTAACGCAGAGACCAGGTCAGAAGACAAAGTTCCCACACGGCAGCCATGGGATGACCGGCACGGCCCGGAGGGACTTTCAGGAAACCTGGGACCGTGCGGGGGCTGAGGCGCTAAAAGCCGATCCGCCCCTGCAAGGGCTTTGCTGCCCCAATGGCACTGGTGCCTCAGACACAGGCTCTCACCAGGAACGCCGGCTCCCCAAAGGGCGAGAAGTCCACCACGGTCACCGGCACGGGCCGCGCGCCGAGCTGCTGGGGTTTGAAGCTTTTGGGAAACACCCTCAGCTGCTGCCTGCAGCCGTGGCCCACAAAGCCCTGGAAGAAACACAGCAGTGACTGAGCGGGGTCAGGCGGGAAGCTTTCTCCAGCAACTCGGGCAATGTCGTCTGCGCCAGCAGCGAACCCATCCTTAGTGACCGTTCATCCCGCCGCCCGGGAAGGAGAGTCCGGAATGAGCCGGAACACGCCTCACCATGCTGGTGCCCACAATGAAGTGATTAGGATCCGAAGGCAAGAACTTGACGTTGAGTGTCTGCGCGGCTGCCCAGCGGGCGTCGCCCCTGTGGGTGAGGCTGGAAGAGACGGCGGAGGTGAGCGCGGCGGGGGAGGGCGATGCCGGCGCAGCGCACGCGTCCGTCACACGTGTCCCGTGACTGCTCCCGCTGCTCCTGAGCTCCGAGCGCTTCCTCGGGGACGTCTCACATCCACGCTACGTACCACTCACGTCCTTCAAGCTCCCAGGCAAGCCTCATTTCTAGAACCCCCGATGGCACCGTTCCCGCCGCGTGCGCGGGCTGCGCTGACTGCCAAGCTGCAGACCCGCGGGGGGGGGGGGCGGCCATCTCCTCTCCGTCTCCCGGGCTGGGGGCTTTCTGGGCTTCTCTCTCACGAAGGGACCAGCCCACCTTCCAGCCTCGGCAAGCTGGCAGCACCATGGCCACGGGCATGGGAGGAGCCACAGCAGCAGCGGGGCTCAGGGCCCAGCATGCTACACACACACACACACACACACACACACACACACACACGGCTCCCACTGGCTCCAACCTCCACCCTGGACCTGGCACTGGCAGCCGTTCCTCTCATTAAAGACTTGTGCGCACAGTTCGAACAGCAGAAACCGCTCTGCCGGAGCCAGAAGCAGGAATCTGGCCACTGCCTCTTCCCACACTCAGGACTGCCCCTGTCACAGTCACTCCCGCGCCCTCCCGCTGCCCAGATCCCGCCTCCGCTCCGCTCACCTGGATGGGACCTGGACCCTGAACCTGGCACTGGCGAGGGCAGGGCCTCCCTCTCGCCTCCTAGAACTCTCACTGACCCCGGCGCCCAGCTCCAGCCCCGCCTCTGCTCCACTTTCCTCCTAAGCCCTGAACAGCTCCCATCGCCATCAGGAATGGAGGACCGTGGGAACCTCACACAGCACATACTGGCTCAGCCTCTGGCCCCGGCCTCCACGTCCTGCTCCTGCTGGCCACACGCTCCCGGTCCACCTCGCATCTCAGGGTCACGTCTCCGAGAAGCCATCAGTCACCACCACCACTCCCGCCCCTTCGCTCTGAGCTCCAACACACATGTGCATGTCCCCATAGAGCGAGTCACGCATTGCCATACCCATGGAGGATGAGGAGACATGCTGCCACCCAGGGTCACTCCCTCCTCAGACTCCTGCGTTCAGGGACGACAGGAGAGGACACAGGGCCTGGTGAGGTCACTCTGGAGCCCCCAGCCGGGGCTGTCTGCATCTGGGGCACAGCGACCTGCTCCTCGCGGCCCTCTGTGCCTCTCCCCTCGGAGCGCTCTTCCTGGTCACAGGGAGCCCCCTCCGTGACCTCGGGGACTGTCTGCGACCTTACAGTACAGGAGCCGGGCCCACCAGCCCAGGGCCACCCGGGGGTCACAAAGGCACCGCCTGGGGTGGCTCCGAGCAAGTCAGACGGCTTCCGTAATGTTAACGGAGCCCTGTGTGCGGGCACGGGCCTGCGGGCGGGCACGGGCGGAGCTGCCCCTGTTCTGTGTGAGGCGAGGACCAGGCGGCGGCACCTTCCCATGCTGCTGGGCGGCCCCAAGGGCAAGAGAAGATTCTCCCGAAACAGATGAACATGGAACACAAATACTGCAGGCAAGATCTGTGTGCTTAACAAGAATTTTTGGGTCATAATAAGTCATATGAGTAAAAGCAGAAGTCTGAACTTCTTAAACTTCCACGTCAATGTTTTTAGTCCTACTGACTTCATGGCTATATTAACACTGAGTGAAAAGTAATCAAATAGCATCGATTATCAGATGGACATTTTAATCAAAGAAAAGCGGTTGGCTCTCCATTTGTGATGTGCCTTTGCACTAATCCTGAATGGCCAGGCATTCAGCCATCACCTACATCGCCTCCCGTGTGGGACGAGCTGGGGCTGCCTCCGGGGCACTTACCTGTCGCTCAGCTGCGTCATGGAGCTGTGCACCAGCTTTATCCTCCCTCCAGGGATTAGCCCTAAGAGCAGGGAGACGAGGAATAAGTGTGTCTCTGGAATCTGGCTTCACTGCTCCACACCAGCATCAGGGGACACACCAGAAGGCAGGAGGCCCCGGGTGCAGGTGGGGCTCCTGCAGGGCCCTCAGGGCTCAGCCATAGGGTCTGCAGGTACAGCCTTGGGCAAAGGCTGGTGAGCACAGTCAGGAAGCCCTTGCCTTTCAGAGCTGCTCAGACAGAATCAGGCAGCAACTGAGCAGAGGAAAACGAATAAAACCAGCACTCAGTGCCGCCCTCCTCCTCACAGCAGCACAGGGTGCGATGGGCCCTGCCCGTGCACCCCTCCCCACCATGGCCTCCTCCCAACCACTGGCACCCCCCAAAGTCCCCCCCGCCTCCTCCCAACCACTGGCACCCCTCCCCCACTTCGTCCCAACCACTGGCACCCCCCCACCTCCTCCCAACCACTGGCACCCCCCACTCCACCCCCGCCTTCTCCCAATCACTGGCACCCCCCTGCCCCCCCCAAACCATTGGCACCCCCCGCCCCCCCACGCCTCCTCCCAACCATTGGCACCCCTCCCCCGCTTCCTCCCAACCACTGGCACCCCTCCTCACCCCACCCCCGCCTCCTCCCAACCACTGGCACCCCTCCCCCGCCTCCTCCCAACCACTCGCACCCCATGTCTTCCCTCAGTGTCATCATGGCCACAGCCTGCCCCTCAGCCACACAGTGGCTTTGCTTCCTGTCTATTCCCAATACCATCCTCCCATTTGTAATTACTGCATCTTGAAACCCAAATTCTGGGCAAGGCACTGTCCTCAATGCGTCCATAAATAAGCTCCACCCGCAGATGCAGCCACCAGGAGACTGCCACGCTGCCATCACCGGGGGAGGCAGAGTGGCTCTCCCAGGTGTCACCTTCTCTGGGAAGCCAGCCAGGCCTGGTGTGCCCCCCGCAGCACCTTCTGCCCTCAGCGACGGGAGCCCTCGGCCCGCACTCCCTGTCCACCGCCTGTTTCCTGGCACCCGAGAGGGACCAGGCTGCTCAGAACACTCAGAAGTGAGGACTGGTCCCACCGCTGACCGGCCCCTGACCTAACGCCTGGGACGGAGCATGAACCACCAGCACTGGTCCCTGACGCACAGCACGAGAGCCAGGCACACACACCAGACCAAAGGGGACTCAATAGGCCTGGCTGTGAGCACTCAACCCCACGGCCTTTCCTTCCTGCGCCGATAAAGCTATAGGATACATTCATTTTTCAGGTAGCCAACTACTTATTTTCAAAGTAGTTAATGCCATCTTTAATCTATTTGTTTCAGCAAACACAGCTGGAAACTCGTTTTTCATTTAATACTCACCTAAGTCACTTATTGAGCCTGCAAGATCTGCCTTGGGTAATTCAACCACCACCTAAAAACAGAATATTGAGAGGAGCATGAGCACGTTTTACCAGAGAGCCAGAGCACGGGTCTGGCGGGACGCCAGCTGCAGCGGGTGCCGAAAGCGCAGCTGCTCCTGACAGCGGCCTCGCCCCCGCCCGCCCTCCGCCCTCGGCTCTCCCCCCTCCCCCTTTCCCCCTCCCGCCGGGCAGCCCTCGGAGCATTCACACGCCCTTTCCCCTCGTCCCTGACAGCCACGCTCTGCTCCCAGAGCCCGTGTGCTCCACTCACCCACACGTTGAGAACCCCACTCTCGTCCAAGGAAGCGATGTGGAACGACAAACCAGACATTTCTAACAGAGAGAGAGGGCGGGGGCTCGCGAGGAGCATAGGCATTGCCTGAGCTCAGGGCTCTCGGGCAGGGAAGGATCACGTACCTTCCTGAGCAGAAAAGGGCGAGAGGACAAAACTCTGTTTCTTGTGGCCAGACGCCGAGACAGGCTCGATGGCTCGCAGAGGGCTGCGGTGATTCACAGCGGTGAGGACGCCATCTGGGAGGCGCAGGAAGTCAGAGACAGTGCCATCGAGTGGGGGACACACGTGCTTCTGGGACACATGCTCCCATGGGGACCACGGCTGAGGTTCCACTGCCTACCGCACGACCACGGAGCAGAGACCACAGCCCCCCCCCACCCCCGCCTGTGAGAGGAACTGCGGGTGGAGGGCACCAGGGCACCCTCCCAGGGGAGGGGGGTCTCAAGATGGAGGGAGAGCAGAGACAACTCAGCTCCCAGGGCAGCCACCGGATGGAAGGGCTGGAGAGACACAGGGCAGGGCTGCCAGGAGCCACTGCTTCGGGAGGGAGGGGCCACAGAGGCGGCCGCGGAGGGGAGTCCGGACAGACTTGCCCCAACCCCATCAGTCCCCGTCATGTGCGCTGTCTAAGCCCCACTACAAAATGTCCAGGAGGAACAACCAAAGCCCACAAAGACTCCTAAAAACACAGGCAAGGCATTTCTGCTGGTGAGAATCCTCTCCTCGCAACAGGTAGGAAACAGAACGCCACACTCTACCCTGCCTCTCACCCCCTGGAAAGCATGAAAAGCACACACATATAGACACGCCTGGACTCAGAAACTCAGAACAGAATTTTTTTAAAAACCAGCAAGAAATGAAGTGAGAGCTGGGGCTGAGCTCAGGAAAGGTCTGGAGCCGATGGGCTTCCACTGAGGTCCATGGACTCCTCACTCTGAGGCCTCATGGGTTTAGGGGCAGGAGGTGGCGGTGGACTCAGAGGTCAGTCAGTGACATGGCAGCACACTGGAAAGGCTCTATTCCAACAGCATCCAAGCCATGAGGAGCTATGGACCAGGGGTGGGAGCCTTTCCCAGCCAAGGGCCATTGGGGTTCTATAACGTCACCTGTGGGCCACACAAAATTGTCAACTTAAAAACTAGTTGCTATATTGGGTCAAATATTTAATGCCTTGGCAGGGCCAGCCTAATGATTTTGCAGGCCTTATATGACCCACGGGCCAAAGGTTCCCCACCCCTGCTATAGACTCACACATTCCCAATTGTAGAGATATCACACAACGCCTGGAAAGCGCCCAGACATGAGCCTCTGCCAAGTGGTGGGGAGCTGCTGGGTGACTGGTTGGTTTTTATGGTAGCTGCACTTATTTGCCTGTGGCTATGGTTGGTTGTTCATGGTTGTGTGGTTGTGGGTGTTTGGCTATGGTTGCTTGTGGCTGGCTGTTTGTGGCTGTGTTGGCTGGTTGTGGTTGTGTGTTTGTGGCTGTGTTGGTTGGTTGAGATTGTATGGTTGTGTTGGTTGGTTGTGGTTGTGGTTGGCTATGGTTGTTTGTTTGTGGTTGTGTTGGTTGGTAGTGGTTTTATGGTTGCCTTGGTTGGTTGTGGCTATGTTGATTGGTGGTGGTTATTTGGGTGCATTGGTTGGTTGTGGCTGTGTTGGTTGTGTGATTGTGTTGGTTGGTAGTGGTGGCTGTATTGGTTGGTGCTGGTTGGTAGTGGTGGCTGTATTGGTTGGTAGAGGTGGCTGTGTTGGTTGGTAGTGGTGACTGTGTTGGTTGGTGTTGGTTGATAGAGGTGGCTGTGTTGGTTGGTAGTGGTGGCTGTGTTGGTTGGTAGTGGTGGCTGTGTTGGTTGGTGTTGGTTGGTAGTGGTGGCTATATTGGTTGGTGTTGGTTGGTAGAGGTGGCTGTGTTGGTTGGTAGTAGTGGCTGTGTTGGTTGGTAGAGGTGGCTGTGTTGGTTGGTAGTTGTGGCTGTTGGTTGGTGTTGGTTGGTAGTGGTGGCTATATTGGTTGGTGTTGGTTGGTAGTGGTGGCTGTGTTGGTTGGTGTTGGTTGGTAGTGGTGGCTATATTGGTTGGTGTTGGTTGGTAGAGGTGGCTGTGTTGGTTGGTAGAGGTGGCTGTGTTGGTTGGTAGTGGTGGCTGTATTGGTTGGTGCTGGTTGGTAGTGGTGTCTGTGTTGGTTGGTAGAGGTGGCTGTGTTGGTTGGTAGTGGTGACTGTGTTGGTTGGTGTTGGTTGGTAGAGGTGGCTGTGTTGGTTGGTAGTGGTGGCTGTGTTAGTTGGTAGTGGTGGCTGTGTTGGTTGGTGTTGGTTGGTAGTGGTGGCTGTGTTGATTGGTAGAGGTGGCTGTGTTGGTTGGTAGTGGTGGCTATGTTGGTTGGTAGTGGTGGCTGTGTTGGTTGGTAGTGGTGGCTATATTGGTTGGTGTTGGTTGGTAGTTGTGGCTATGTTGGTTGGTGTTGGTTGGTAGTGGTGGCTGTGTTGGTTGGTGTTGGTTGGTAGTGGTGGCTATATTGGTTGGTGTTGGTTGGTAGTGGTGGCTGTGTTGGTTGGTGTTGGTTGGTAGTGGTGGCTGTGTTGGTTGGTGTTGGTTGGTAGTGGTGGCTATATTGGTTGGTGTTGGTTGGTAGAGGTGGCTGTGTTAGTTGGTAGTGGTGGCTGTGTTGGTTGGTGTTGGTTGGTAGTGGTGGCTGTGTTGATTGGTAGAGGTGGCTGTGTTGGTTGGTAGTGGTGGCTATGTTGGTTGGTAGTGGTGGCTGTGTTGGTTGGTAGTGGTGGCTATATTGGTTGGTGTTGGTTGGTAGTTGTGGCTGTGTTGGTTGGTGTTGGTTGGTAGTGGTGGCTGTGTTGGTTGGTGTTGGTTGGTAGTGGTGGCTATATTGGTTGGTGTTGGTTGGTAGTGGTGGCTGTGTTGGTTGGTGTTGGTTGGTAGTGGTGGCTGTGTTAGTTGGTGTTGGTTGGTAGTGGTGGCTGTGTTGGTTGGTGTTGGTTGGTAGTGGTGGCTGTGTTGGTTGGTGTTGGTTGGTAGTGGTGGCTATATTGGTTGGTGTTGGTTGGTAGTGGTGGCTGTGTTGGTTGGTGTTGGTTGGTAGTGGTGGCTGTGTTGGTTGGTGTTGGTTGGTAGTGGTGGCTGTGTTGGTTGGTGTTGGTTGGTAGTGGTGGCTGTGTTGGTTGGTGTTGGTTGGTAGTGGTGGCTGTGTTAGTTGGTGTTGGTTGGTAGTGGTGGCTGTGTTGGTTGGTGTTGGTTGGTAGTGGTGGCTATATTGGTTGGTGTTGGTTGGTAGTGGTGGCTGTGTTGGTTGGTGTTGGTTGGTAGTGGTGGCTGTGTTAGTTGGTGTTGGTTGGTAGTGGTGGCTGTGTTGGTTGGTGTTGGTTGGTAGTGGTGGCTGTGTTGGTTGGTGTTGGTTGGTAGTGGTGGCTATATTGGTTGGTGTTGGTTGGTAGTGGTGGCTGTGTTGGTTGGTGTTGGTTGGTAGTAGTGGCTGTGTTGGTTGGTAGAGGTGGCTGTGTTGGTTGGTAGTGGTGGCTGTGTTGGTTGGTAGTGGTGGCTGTGTTGGTTGGTAGTGGTGGCTATATTGGTTGGTGTTGGTTGGTAGTGGTGGCTGTGTTGGTTGGTGCTCGTTGGTAGTGGTGGCTGTGCTGATAGGCTGTGATTGCTTGATGTGGTCATAGTTATGGTTGTAGCTACAGCTGCCTGGCATAAAGATTCTTGGGGTCCAACGAAGGATGCTGCAAGTCCTATTGTTCCAGTTCCTCTCGTCCCCCAGGTGGAGCAGACATACCAACACGCCGTAAGCTAATTTAAAACTAGAAGCTCACTGAGGACTCGGAACCCTCACATAAACAGGAAGATGCCATGTCCGGGACCCGGCCAGCAATGGCCTGCGGCATTCTGTTCCGCTTTTGTCCAAGGCCTCTTTTGCTCATGGGTCAGGCCGCATCCTCTGGGGTGCCCTGGACAATAGATGCCGAGACACTCAGACATCCCTGGAGACTGTCACTCTCCAGGCCTCACTGACCAGTGGAAAACGTTGCTGTCCTGAATGTCCAAAAGCAGTCACTCAGCTTCACGTAGCGATGCATCCGAGAGTCTTCTCTCAGGTCCCACACGATGACCGAGCCGTGCACGGTTCCAGCAAACAGCAGGAAGGCCTTGAAGGGGCTCAGGCAGCAACAGGTGACCTGGGAGGACAGAGAGCTCTGCTGCCACGGCGCCCGGGGCCTCCCCAAGAAGCTGTGGGGCACGAAGCAGGTCTGGGGCGTGTCTGTGTCGGCTTTCTCGGTGTGCGCCAGGCACCACTCGGCCTATCAGCAAAGCCAACTTCTGTCTCCCCCTGTATAGCCTGAATCACCAAGTTTTCTTTAAGCCACAACACTGACACAGTAAAAGTTACTGTTCTCTACAGTTTTGGTGGAATTGATGATTCTGAGGTCAATGAGCATGTAAACAGGTGACCTGCGTGGCCACCAGACCACGACCTGTGAACCAGGGGCCAGGAAATGCATGAGACTACAGACTGGATCTTAAGCAATTAAGAAATCTCTTCCATGTCCGGGACCCAGACAGCACAAGCAACAAGTCCACCCTGAACCAGAGTCATGCCCAGGGCCGTGTGTCCCCTCGGCCTGGAGCCCTGATACCCAATTCCCACGGCCCCACAGGGGTGCTAACCAGGCTTCACGCTGTGGGTTCCTCTGAACTTACAACTTTTAGTCACAACTTTTAGTCAACTTTTAGTGACTAAAAGTTGTAAGTTCAGAGGAACCCACCCATGTCCTGTCACAGCGGCACAGATGGAGCTGAGGAGGCGGGGGGGGGGGGAGGGGGGGGGACCAAGCCCCTCCTGCTCCCTGTGCCCAGCACCGCGCCCACTGCCTGCCCTGTTCCCATTATACCTGCGACTCACACACCAGGACCTTCTGCGGCCCGGAGGGCTGCCAGATGTCCCACACGCAGAGCAGGTGCCTTCGGTCCAGTGGGGGCGCGCAGGCCTGGCCGGGAAGCCCGTGAACGGACACCACCACCTGCCTCCGCGCTGGAGAGGTGTGCAAGCTGGACACTTTCCGATCTGGGGACGGAATAGGGAAAGTGCTGCAGCACCTGAGTAGTCTGCCAGATCCAGGTTATACTCACACACTTACAAATAAGTGAACACATTTCAGCTGAGTGAAGAAACAGACATGGTCCTTTCAAAGCTCCACCTGCCTAAATGTGGGTTGGCCAATGCCACAGCTCTACAAGAAAACGGTCTCAGTTGTCGTGAGGTTTTGCTAAGAAGTGGTCCTTCAGACTTGGTACAGCACAGCCTGGAGCCAGGCCACCTCAGTGGGCCCTGCAGTCCCCCAAGGCATCACACCATCACGCTGCTCCACTGGGGGCCCTGCCCCTTCGTCTATCTCCCAAGAGCTTGCCCCGTTCAATCCACTGCGCACGTCACTCATTTGCATGTTCCTAGTCTGGACCACTGCTGTCTCTCCCCGGGCCGGGACACTGGTCACACGCTGCACACAAGCCAACGCAGGAAGGAGGAACGACCCGCTGGTGCCACTCTGCTGCGCGGGCGAGCATTCCTGGACGGCGGAGCAGCCCTGCTTCTGAGGCCTCGGCTCACAGGTCTGACCAGTGAGCCTCAGACACCTGTCATCCAACCTCACTTCCTCTGTCACCTCAGAATTCATTTTACCAAAGTGCAACCAACAAGAAGCACTCCGTCCTCAGGGGGTCTCCCACATCCTCTAGAGGCCAATCCTGTGAGGACACGCACGCTCGTGGCCCCCACGAGGGACTCTGTGCCTGTGGCCCTTGTACAAGCGCCTCCAGGCCTGCAGGTGCACACTGGGCCATCCGGGAGGAGAGCTGGTGTGGTGCATGCACACCTGGGTTTTGAATTCCACACACACGGTGACTTACTATTTCCTGACGGGATAACTCTCATCTTTTAAAAATAAAAACACCCCCCAAAACACCGGCTTTTAAAGCTAAAATGCCATTTTGTTCATGTGAAACACCCACACAGCGAAGGACAGAAGCCCCACTGCCCGCCACTGCGCCCTCCTGCGGTCGCCTGCTGCCACCGTTTCACAGCAGAGCAGCTGCGGGCACGGCCTGGGCCGCACAAAGGCAGGTTTTAAAACTGATCTAATATGTACACAGACAATAATTTAATAATAAATAAATAAATAAATAAATAAATAAATAAATAAATAATAAAATTGATCTAAACGGTTACACGTGACCACTTCACCTGGCTCGCAAAGTGCCCACGGCTGACTGAGCGCAGTGCTGGGTGCGGCGTTTCCGAAGCAAATCCGCACTCCACGCCCCGGCCCTGTGGTCCCAGGAGCCGGCCTGTCCCGCCCCACGCCCTCGCCCTCGCCCTGGGGTGGCGGCCCGGGACTGCCACGCAGGTCACCGTGCTCGCTCAGGCGCAGCAGCAGGCTTACACTGCAGGAAGGGCAGGCTGGTGTTGAGCTGCCAGGCACTGTCACTGAGGGGCAGGGTGCTGTCCTGGACCCCGGGGTCCCGGCTGGGGGCGGCTGCCACGCGGTCCTCTTCCAGCAAAACGGCCACCACCTTCCAAAGACAGGGAGTGCCCGGTCAGCACCTGCCCACACCGCTCACCGCCCTCATGGGGCTGCTCCTGCCAGGCGCCACGGAAGCAACCGGGCACAAGACCACGGTCCTGCGGGCGCAGCAGGGGAATGACCCCTCAGGAAGCTGGGGTCTCGGGCACCTGTCATGGTTTACGGCAGAGAATCTGCTGAAGTGGCAGGATGAGGACATGGCAGGGGCAGGCCCCCGAGGGCCTCGGCAGCCTCCCTGGGCTCTGAGGACCCAGGAGGCGCAGTGAGCCAGTCAGTGCGACCCGCCACGTCCTCACCGCCTGCCTTGGCCGCCTGCCACTCCGCCTTGCGCTGCTAGCACCCCCACCTCCCGACACCCGCCGGGGGGAGCCCTCCGCTCAGTGTGGAAGCAGACCGCGAGAGGAGACCCGCGGGCAGCCAGACTGAGCCCACAGCCAGACTGTGGTGGCTTTTCACACCTGGGGGCCGGGTGGGACTGTGAAGAGGAGGAGTGGGGTCCTTTTCTTTAGAGACGCACAGAGGCTCCAGGGCCGGGCGGGCGCTACTGGTTTCCCAGGAACCGGAGGGTCTATGGGGGCTCAGAGGAGACAGAGGCGCGGCCTACAATGTGGAGCGCCACGAGCCCTCCACACTCCATCTGCAGGCCGCTGCAGGGCCCGTGGTCAATTTAAAAGCCCAGGTTCCTTGGTTTCAAATACTCGAGAGGTACATCCGCCTTGTCAGCTTCACTGAGTTCCCATCTGTGTGTGTTAGCTGGGGGTGGCCACCTGACGGCCACATCTCGGCACCTACCTGGCAGGCCGCCCGGAGGAAGCTGGACAGTCTCAGCGTGTCCACCTTGGGCACAGCCACTGCGTCCGATGGCTCTCTGCTCTCACTCCCTAAAGAGTCACAGAAAACCACCAGGTGGGCTCTCAGCAGCCACGCCAGAGGGCACAGGTCACATGCCCGTTAGGAAGCTGGAAGCGGAGCTCAGAAAGCCCACGTTCACTCTGGAGCTACTGTAAACTGCACCTGATGGAGGAAGCTCGGGCGATGAGCACACGGGTGCTGCGTCATAGCACTGCTCACCTGAACTCATAACCTCATGGACCTCGGTCCCCAATACATGTAATTTAGAAAACCAACGGCATCTTGTTTTACATAAAGTCTGTGAACAGAACCCTACTTACAGACAATAAGGAAAACACAGGTAGACAAAAGTAGACTGACAGCTGTAATCAAATAATCCAATCATCAATAAGTAATAATACAAGAAACTGTTTTGCATACTCACAACTATAAACCTGCCTTTGCCCACCCCTGTAGCTAACGGAATCAATTATGATGTGAGTGTCACATGTCCATGCCTGATTTCCTAGGACAGTGGTTGGCAAACCGTGGCTCGCAAGCCACATGCGGCTCTTTGGCCCCTTGCACACACATACAGTGCGATTGAAACTTCATGGCGCATGCACAGAACTCGGTTTTCAGCCTGGGCAAGTCTATTTTGAAGAAGTGGCGTTAGAAGTGGGGGTGTGGTCGCATGTGGCTCGCGAGCCAGTTTACCAACCTCTGTCCTAGGGTGAGACTTCCTCAGAATAAGCTGCACAGGGAAGGTGAGCTGAGCACATGGGTCACGGAGGAAAGCGTGAAGGTGGACACTCCTATGGGACCTGCCATCTAAGTTGATGGAACAGACCCAGCATCCACACGGTTGTATAAAAGCTCTATGCTCGCTGGGTGAGCATCGACCTGTGAATCAAGAGGTCACGGTTCAATGCACAGGTGGCGGGTTTGATCCCCAGGAGGCAGCTGAGTGATAATCGATGATGTTTCTCTCTCATCAATGTTTCTCTCTCTCTATCCCTCTGCCTTTCTCTGTCTCTGAAAATCAATGAAAAAGATTTTGTTTTAAAAATTAAAAATCAATCTCTATTAAGGAGAACAGATTATCCCAAGTTAAAAGCAAAGCGCTCAGAAGCCCATCATGCAGCTGCGTGTTTGGAGGTGGATTCTGCCCTGCTGATGGTGCTCAGGCTGCTGGTTTGCCCCACAAAGAGGGGTGGCACTTCCAGTCGGGTACGAACAACCCCCCAACCCCCAAGAGATAGAAGGAGAAAGAACAAGAAATGCACTGAGCACTGCTGCTGCTCTCCCTCTAGCAGCAGAGAGGCAGTTCGAAGAGGCGGCTCTCAGGAGCCCGGAGAGCTGCTTACCGCCCGCCACGGCCGCGCCCTCCCCCGGGTGCTGGGTCCAGGCCTCCCTGGTCTCCATCTCCTCTGTCTGGACATCTCGCTCCACGTTCCCCTCATTGCACTGCACGTACGCCTGGAAAAGCAAGGCTGCCGTCAGCACTCTCCCTCAGCCAAGGTCTCACAGCCGAAAAGAAAATGCTGGTGATCAACGGCAGTCTTCTCGCTTTTGTCAAGAACAGGATCATGGCATAAATAACCAGCAAGCAAAGACAGTTTGGATCTTAAATATTTGCTGTGTTTAATAGGCTTGATTTTTGTAAAGTGTTCTTGAAAAGTCACATCGAACAATTCAGCTTTGGTGTAAAAAACTACTGAGGAGCCCACCAACATGTTTTTTAAGAACATACTGACTTTGCAAACCAAAGGCAATCTCTTATTTCAAAAAGGAATGTGCAGCCCCAGCAGTCTGGCTCAGTGGATGGAGCGACAGCCCATGGACTGAAGGGTCCTGGGTTCGAATCCAGTCAAGGGCACATATCTTGGCAGCAGGCTCAATCCCAGGCCCTGGTTGGGACACATGCAGGAGGTAACCCATTGATGTGTCTCTCTCACATCAATGTTTCTCTCTCCGCCCCTCCTCCACGCTCTGTAAACATCAGTGGGAGAGATCCTGGGTCAGGATTAGCAACAGCAAACAGGTGCGCGCTGCAGTGAAGAGTTCCGTTGCTAGCAGCTCTGAGATGAGAAAAGGGGAGAGAAGTTGGACCATCCACTCAAGGTTAGAATGAGTCAACAGGACTCATCCAGCAGCTCCGGGAGGGCCAGCCCATGACCCCCTCCTACTGAGAGGCTGCACCAATGGACGGACCCAGCGCATTACCAATGGCACTAACGGGACATAAGAAAATGCAGAGGCAATCCCTGCCTTCACCTTTTGGAATTCGCACGATCACAGAATTAGTGAGCACAAGCACAGCAGCGAGTCCATGGCAGTGTGGCAAGGAGGGGGCAACTTTGGAATAAGGGAGTTCAGTGTATGTCATGAGGGAAGGCGTCACCGCAAGCCTCTAACCAGGCTACGAACATTGAGAAACACATGTGAGACAGGAGGCTGGGTTGGGTGACAGAGAAAACACATGCAGGTGAGGGCCCTGCCACAGGGAGAGGGCACACAGAAGGTGAGGGCCTGGCACAGGAGAGGGCACACAGGCGGGTGATAGGGTCAGGGCACACAGGGGAAGTGCAATGGAGCAGAAAGGATGGACGAGGGTGAAGCACGTCAGGGAGCTCAGGAATCACTGGGTGCACAGCACTGCCTGTCACACCCTCACGGGGACCCGAGCAAGGGGTCCAGGGACATTCTGCTCCCACACTGGGAGCGTGGAGCCGCTATTGCATGTGGGCCTACATGGAGCCCTGCACACCGTGAGGTTCGCAGGCACCAGGCGGTGCGGAGGGCCCTTCTTCCCCCTCCCGCCCTCCTCCACACAGCCCAGCCCTCCTCCAGAGCACAGCGCCAAGCTGCCCGTGTACCTGCTGCACTAACCTGTTTGGTGTTTTTCCTCCCAAAGTTTCTGATGTACATGTCATATTCATTTACTGGCGGTAGATCCAAGAAAGAGAATGTGAATGAAAAGTCCAGGTCAATGAGCCGAAGCAACTTTGTGCTGCGAGTCCTGGAAAATAAATTGGAAACGGACAAGGTAAGCTGGCAATGCCCAAGGGTGTGCGGGCGCCTTGGTGAGACAGAGTCGCTGTCAGGACTCACCTGCCAGTGTCTGCCTGAGGCATTTAGCAGTCCCGCGCGGACCAACGTGAGAGCATCATAAACCACGCTTCCCACTGTTAGAAGTCAGCGCCCCGAGTCTACACAGAGCCAGTCAGGCTGCGTCCCTACACCTGTCAGGAGAGCAATTCTCTCCGCGCCACGCCTTCATGGGCCTCGACCGCAGTGCCTTTCTGTGGTGTCGCTGCTCTGGGGCCTGAAAGGGGGTCATGTTTGTGCCGCCCACGGTCCTTGAAGCACAGACCTGTGTCCCATGGGACTGGACTGTGCAGCCGCCGCCAAGCCAGCCGTCCTGCTGCCCTCAAGGTGCCCAAGCCCTGCCCTTGGTGTTCCTCAGCTCAGACTCCTCTCTGACTGCGGGATGGTCTCCTTTCCTTCCGGACGCTAATGTCAGTGCCAGGCTCTCCGTCTCCCCATCCAGGAGCTCTGTCTCCCCCACTGGTGCTCAACCCACAGGTACCCTTCCACTCACTCAGGTCATTGCCCAAACCACCACCTTCCATCACCGTCCTCTCTAGCCACCGTCCCACACTCCCAACTCACAGCTCCAGTCCGCCATCCGCCACATCTCTCACCACATGGCACCCCAACAGACGGACCCCCGCTCACTTGTGTAAGCCCTCGTGGACATGAGTGGTCCACAGCGCCACCTTTTCCCCTCTCAGTGTGTGTGGTAACAGCCTTTTCATTCTTGCTGCTGAGTCTTCGTGTCTGGCTTTCTCCTTTCCCTTAAGTCAGACTTCTTAAGGCTTATAAATTCTATGAATGTTTTTAAATAATTCCTTTTGGCTTTGTTGAACTTGACAGCTTTCAATTTTATGGATTTCTGACGTTATCTTTTATTATTTTGTTCCTTCTCATTTCTTACTGTTCTTTGCCCTATTGAGATAGATATGTGGACAGGGTTGGCAGCCTTTTCCGTGTCCAATGTGTCTCAGAAGAGCTTTAACTGCATCCCACAGCTTTTAAATGCTGGTTTCCTTTATCGCTGCGGAAAATAGTTTCTAATTGCCATTTGACTTCTTCTTTGACCAACAGCTTTTTAGAAAATACTACTTGATTTTCAAACTTTTGAGTATTTTCTAAATTGCTTTTTTATTATTGACCTCTAGCTTAATTCTACTGTGGTCAGAACACATCTTCTGTATTTTTCCAATCCCATGTCCAGAACATACAATTTTTTTGAAAACTGTTCTCTGTATTCTTCAAAAGACCATAGATACTGCACTTGCAGGTATATTTTTAGATGTGTATTAGATGCAGTTTAACCATGCACTCAAATCTTTGTGTCTCCACTAAATTTCCATCAGCTGCCAATGCCCACCTGTGTCCTCTGGTGCTGCCAGTGTGCTCTGTCCACTCTGTCCTCCAGCACTGGGTGCATTCAGGCTGCCTGGCGGGCTCATCTGCTGAGCTGACCCTTTCATTGTTACCAAGTGACTTTCTTGTGCTCTTCCTGCTTTCAAGTTTCCCTTGAAGTCAGTGGCATCAGCAGTGTTTAGTCAGTGTTTGCTTGGTAGGTCTCCTCTATCCTTTCTCAACCTTTCTGTGTCCTGATATGTAAGGTTTGTCTCTTGAAAGTCACATATTTGGCAGGTCCCATTCAACATCTTTGCATCACACCCTTGAGACGCCACAGGGACCTGACTCTTCTCCATCTTGACGAGGCTGTGGGGAACTGGTTTCCTCACACGTCATTTCACTCAAGTCGAAGAGCTACTGATGACGATGTGAGGTGAGGCCGTACTGTGCTGTTGTTTTCCTCCAGTTCATTACATGTAAGGCAGGAACTTGTGGTTATGGTTTAATCACCCATCTTTCTGTTGTTCTCTCTGTTCCATGACCTCCGTTCCTTTGTTGCTCCTTTCCTGACTACTTTTTTTTTTTAATATATGCATATACATATTTTTAAATAGAGTTTTATTAATTTCAGAGAGGAAGGGAGAGGGAGAAAGACAAAAAAATGAATGATAAGAATCATTGATTGGCTGCCTCCTGTAAGCCCCCTGCTGGGGATCAAGCAGGCAACCCAGGCAGGTGCCCTGACTGGGAATCAAACCATGACCTCCTGGTTCACGGTCAACATTCCAGCAATGAGCCATACCATTGTGGCTGGGCTCCTGACTACTGTTTGATTAGCCACATGCTTTTTTGTGTTTTTTTTATATATAATTCCATTAACTCTTCTACTAGCTTCTTAGTTATACATTTTCTCATTATCTCTTAATGGTTACCCTAGACTTTTCAACAAGCATTCCTAACCTGTTAAAGTCTACCTTAAATTAAATACTTTTACCTCTTCCTGTGAGGACCTCACCACAATTTTCTGTTGCCCTTCCCCTGCTCCAGTTCTTGAACTACGTCAAGGTAATTTAGTCCCATAAACCTTTCAAACCCACGTGCAGTGACATGAATTCCTATTACACATGCTGATCTTTCCTTTGCCACTGTTTCCTAGTTGAGCCAATGTGTTACAAGCGAGCATTTCTCTGTACTCTAATCACATAAGCAGTGTCAGTTTTTAAAACCTCACCTATTTCTATAGAAGAAACTCACCTCATTATTGTTCGAATATCCATATCTCTGACTGCTCAAAGATGTAACTTATGGTGTGTATGTGGGGGAGGGGTGACTGAGGGACAGTTAGATCTCGCAGGAGTCTCGGAGACTAGCAGATGGGACTCTCCACCAAAGGCACTCCCAGGCCAGGCACGGCTTTGGCATAAAGCCCACACCATTCAGTAGAGGGGAGCAGCAAAGGCCAGGAGCACAGCCCACTGACACCAGCACTGGCCTCAGACACCATCCCAGACCAGTGCAGGGAGCTGCTTACCAGCCATAACCCATGTGGGCGCACCACCATGCCCCGGCAGTGAGTGGCATGGTACCGCAGACTCCCAAATGTCTGTACTGAGCGCACGACAGAGAGACTTCCTGCACCACACCTCCTCACCCATGTGCCTGGACCCTGCAACCCAGAACCCTGCATTGTGAATACAAGCCAGGGGGACCCTGGACCCCACCCCCACCCCAGAACCGTGCTCCCAGTCCAACCCGAAACCACCCAACACACACCCCACTCCAGGCCCAAAGAGAGTGTTGCCATTGCAACCTGGAACCACATGGAGGGCTCAGCCCCAGGTCACAGGTCACTGCTCTCATTGCAATCTGGAGCCACTCAGCACATTTCCATCCTGGGCCATAGGACTGTGCTACCAGTACAACCCAGTGGATTCAGCCACTGGTCACAGAACCACATTGCAAGTGCAGTGCCAAAAGGACTTAGGGCACCACACTGCCACAGATGCCAGGGTGGCACAGTGAATTGCATGCCAGAGGGCTCTGCACCCCCACAGGGAGTCACACAATAGAGGAACTGTGCATGTGCCCCCACAACTCAGAGCATCTGCAACAAGCAACTGAGGAACCAGAACCATGGGAGAAGTAGTTACTGCTTATGTGATTAAGAGTGCAAAGAAATAGTTACTGCTTATGTGATTAAGAGTGCTTGTATCACATTGGTTCAACTAGGAAACAATGGCAAACAGTGACCCAGCCTCTGGGCTAACTAGTCCCAGACTCTTGGACCTCAATCAGGGTGCCCAAGGCCAGAAAGAGACAGCAAAAATGGGGAGATAAAGAAATAATCCCCAAAGGAAAGGAAAGAGGGACCCGTCAGAAAAGAAACTAAACAAAATAGAGTCAAGCAATATGTCAGAGAAAGAATTCAGATCAAAGATTATAAAGATGCTAAACCATCTGGATGAGAATTTCACCAACATGTGTAAGTATCAAGAGGAAATGAAGAACAACATTGCTGCAATAAAGAACACAATGGAAGGTTTCAACAGCAGCCTAGAAGTAGTGGAGGACGGAATCAGCAAGTTAGAAAATAGGATAGAAAAAACACCCAATCTGAAAACCAATTGGAAAAATATTTTTTAAAGCAGGCGAGTTTAAGGGAGCTTTGGGACAACATGAAACGAAGCAACATCTACATAATAGGGTTGCCAGAAAGACCAGAAGAGGAGCAAGGAATAGAAAAAACCTATTTGAATAACGACAGAAAATGTCCCTGACATGGGGAAGAAAAAAATCACACAAGCACACAGAGTCCTAAACAAGAAACACCCAAAAAGATCACACCAAGATGCACCGTGATTACAACATTAACGACAAAGAATCTTGAGAGCTACAAGAGAGAGAGTTCTCTACAAAAGATTGCCCATTAGACTAACAACTGATGTCTCAACAGAAACATAACAGGCCAGAAAGGGCATGGAATGAAGTATAAAAAATGATGCAAAACAAAGGACTGAGTCCAAGAATACTCAATCCAGCAAGGCTATCATCCAAAAAACTGAAAGGAAAATCAGAAGCTGCACAGACAAAAAAGGTAAATGGAGCTTATTACCACTAAGCCAGCAACATAGGAAATACTAAAGAGAATGATGTAAAAAGAAAAAATAGAAAGGGAAGAGGAAACACAGGAATAGAAAATAAAAATGGCAATAAACTACCTATCAATAATAAACTTAAACGTAAATGGATTAAATGCTCCAATCAAAAAAATTGGATAGCTGAATGGATAAGAAAATATGCCCCATATATAAGGACTCACACAGACTGAAAGTGAGGGGCTGAAAAAAAAACAAGATAAAAAGAAATGGAAAAAAAATTGGGGTAGTAACACTTAGATCTGTCAAAAAATAGATCTCAAAGTGAAGGCCATAACAAGAGATAAGGAATGTCACATCATATTAGTAAAGGAAACAATACAACAAGAGGATATAACTCTGATAAACATATATGCACCCAAAACAGGACCACTAAAATACATTTTTTTTAAAACTTCAGGAAAATATCAAGAGAGATCAACAACAATATAAT